CGTATGTGGCTTTGAGAGAAATTTCCCGCAATTTTCCTGGTTGTTGACTTTTGGCGTGATATTTTTTCTAGGTACTATATACCTCTCTCCCCTGTAGGCGAGAAATCTTTAGGTGAATGACTGGAAAATGTGGGAAATTGGTAGGAAGGTGCGTGGGGAGGGGTGGGAGAAGTCGTACCGAGACCCTCGTTTAGGTGGGGCGGGGAGGGGGGAGGGTCGTACGAGCACTCCATTTCACAGATCATGATGTTGTACCCTAACTGAAGAAGTTGTCGAGAGAGAGCTCTGTTATATTTAGGGAAGAGGAGAGTCGTCGTTTGATCAGCACCTTCTACACGGAAGAAATGCGAGACCTAGTTTACTCTCCTGCGTGTTCGGAATCATCCCACATTACTCAACGAGGCATTGGGGTACGTACTGTTCTTCATTTTCCTTTTTTTTTTGCTTGGAGACACTATATACTCACCTCTGAGGATGGTCGTCGCCATTTGGGAGGTGAATGGGTCCGCAGCTGCACTGGCCACTTTCTCCGCTCAGAAGGACACGGGAACAGAGCTGTAGTGTAGTTTTAGAGGGATGCCGTTTCCATATCGTCCGCACCATTCACAATGGGCAGCACTTGCGTCAGAAGATCTCGCAGCGAAACGAGCAGTCAACCGTAGACATTAAGCAGAAGTGACAGGCGGATCACACGTAGCGCGTTTGACTAAGGTTTGGCTAGCGGCTAGCCGTGACAAACGCGAGGGCGGAGGAGAAAATGGCAGGCTACTGAAGCTGCGGACCCATTCAGTTCCGCTTCAGGGATAAAGAGAAGATCTCCTATTTCGAGAGAATCTCGATCTGTATCTGCACCTCAGATATCGAGGAACCACAGGAGAATTTTTTATGATAGCCTGCAGCCTTTTACTCTAGATCAGACTTTTATTAATGTAGTACTTGTGTTTTTTTTGTGTGGTTTATGCTTACAAATGTTGGCAAGATTTACACACATTCTCAGTGCGTACTAAACTATTCAGACATTGTTGGACTTGTACATACTGCACCGAAGCGAATTGCTTCGTCTCATCGTGCTTTATTTGTTTCGCGCTTCATTTCTCTCGGCCTCAACGCTGGTTTTCCGGTTGATCTTCACTATTAGCACTGATCTCAACGGTTTTGCCTCTCGTTTTGAAGGTGAGTTATCCACAGTTATTTGCATACAAATGCTTTTGATCAATGTTGCCACTAGAAGTCTAGGACATGAGTCAGATATGCAGTGCATTTTTTAGAGCAAAAAGGGCGCTCGGCGGCTTCGTATTCCCTTGCGCTGAACTTGCTTTCTTATCTCTCTTATCAATTGTGTTAACATATCTTCCGTTGGGACTCTCCCGTCCATCGCCGCGCTCGAAGTCACGCCCCTTGTTGTCCTCGGAAATGGACGTATGCTTTTCGATGAACCCTTCAATTAGACGTATTCTGAAGGATGGACAAGCTGAGGAGATGCTTTTTCTCCTTTTTGAATCCTTCTGCAAGAGGTCGAGAATACAAACCACCGCTTAACTACTGAAAAAGATTCACTTCATGTCCCGGAGGTGGAGAGTCCTGGCAGCCACTCCTACCCCACTCCATTTCTGAGATGTGCAGTGTAGTTCCGTAGAGCTGCCGTCTACAGTGGACGGAGGGAGGGAGGGGGGGGGTCTAGGCTTTGCACCTACAGGTCACCTAACGTATGAGTTACCTGATCTGTAGGCACTGTAGTTACTCTTACTAAATGTTTAATATTGACGTGATCATCTCTGAGATATTCTCCTGTTCAGTGCTCCAGAGCACGCTGTCGCAAAGGACTCGCGATCGCGTAAAGTCTCACCCTACTGCAGATGAGCTCAAAGGAAGCGATGGAATGGAGAAAGTGCTTCTCTCGCTAGACGACATCACTAATGGGTAAGTTTCCGTACCTTGTTTCGCAGATATTTTCAAAGTATGTGAAAGTGATGGAGGTGTTTCGGGTTGAGAGGGGAACGCTTACTGCGCATAGCACATCGGAGGTCACATCCTGGACCGTTTCCTGGCATTTCCATCTGAGGCTCCTTACCTCCGGAGCGGTAACTCGATGGCAGATTCGTCCGGGAACATAAAAAATGTACATTTGATATCGTCGCAGTCAGTCGGGGCGAGGTCAGGAGGCGTGGAATGAGCCCATCTGCGGGATTCCTACTAGTGGTTAATTTCCTTTCTGGATCGATGTTCAACCAATCACTACTGGTTGAAAAAGCGACAGAGCAGGCTCACCCCCTCCTTCTTAAAACCACTTTTACTTTCCGACGAAATGAGATCGCTTCGCGAATCAGAGATGTCTGACGAGCCTCCCACAGTCCGTCGTATATTGCACACAGGGTTGGTTTGACCCTAACCGAATGGCTCTGATCTGATGAACTCTCCACAGTCTGTCATATTTTGCATTTTCTGGACCGCGTTTACTGATTGCAACGTTATCATTTTTACGCTGTAGGTGGAATGATCCTAGGCGGATTCCACAGAGTCAACTTCTGAGAAGTGTGCTTCAGAATAGCCAATTCTCTTTAAATAACTGTAAGCACCACTAAAAATGGACGTGGGAGATACAGTGTTGACATGAGGTTGAATTTGCTCAAAAGAACTGACTCTTGGGTGCAGTGGAAACAATGAATAATCTCA